CGGCTGGGTTGTTGACAACTATATTCTTTATGTCTTAGGCGACGTGGCAGACTCTAGACGATGTAAAACCTTATTGAACTTTGATTGATGCTCGCTGACATCAGCTTATGTCAACCCTAATTTTTAGGCATAAACTTCCTTTGTAACTTGCAATTCATTGACACTGAAGGTCTTAACTTTACAATATTTAAAACAATTGGCAATTGTCTATGCATCAATTGCAGTGACAGTTCTATCAAAGACATTTATCTTTGCTTATTCCAAAACATAATCTTCTATCCATTTCAAAAGTAGGCAATTGAAGAGTTAAATTAAAATCCTAATATTTGTTGGGTAAGTAATTAAAATCTTAATATTATTAAAATATGAATTGAAATGCTAATATTTCTTACTAAAATATGAATTATAAAAAAAAAAAAAAAAACAACAATAATTTTTTAAACTATACCTCTATTAGGTTATATCCTCCTCATAGTAATAAAATTAATTAATCATACTATTATGATTATAGAAAGGTTTTACTGCAATTATAAATCTATCTGCAGAAATATACTAAGAAGAAATCAAAATACATTTTTTTTATACCCAGAATACTATTTGCCTACGATGAAAAGAGATAGATATCAAAGAAAGTAATGAAAACGGAACATAGAACTTGAAAGAATGGACAAGGTGGTTGATTGCTAGTCACTAAATATGATGACTTGCAAAGTGCAAATAAAGAAGATCACTATGTTAAATACGTTGGTCATGACGTATTAAAACAAAAAAGTCAGAAGCATCCTCTGAACAGTGCAAACTATCATATGAGCAGCAATTGGCTAGAATCGCATTGTTTTTTATATGGGCTATTATTAATCTAAGATTTGACAGATTGTTCTTTGCCTGCAATGCAACTATAATGAAGCGGTTAATCTGTACACGACAGAAGAAGTATTAGATGCTATGTAGAAGAGAGGTTGCTTGGTCGTAACATTCTCTTTTTGAAAAGTTAAGAGACAGAAGGCCTGAATGACATGAGAATCATTGCCTAATCATGTCGGATAAGGGAAAATGAAAACGGAAAACTCGTGATGGATTTAAGCAATTGATCCAATTATCTCTGAACTGTTGAAAAAGGTCTAATAACGGTGAGCACAAACAGAAGAATATCTGGAAAGGGCTAGTTGTATGCATAATGTTTTGATTTGATTTTGAGTTTACAATCATGTCTATTCCGATTTCACTGGTATTTTCCTATTTATAACGTGATAAATTTGTATGCTTTCATTGTGTTTTCCAGAGACAGAATTTGGAAGAGAAAAGGTTCTCATTATACTTGTGTTAGTGTTTGTGCGCAATAGTTCAACATGAATTGCCATGAACAATTTAAGCCTGTTGCTGCGATGGTGGTTGTTAACTTTGCATTGGCTATGGTGAATGTATTTCTCAAGAAGATTATTGATGAAGGAACCAGCCATTTGGTTATTGTTGCTTACCGACAATTAATTTCAGCTATTTTCGTGGCACCCATTGCCTACTTCTGGGAAAGGTAACTGCTATCTTAGTCATTCCATTTAAAGTAATTTATTATAGGCTACTTATTGCTTGCTGTTGGCTAAATTCATAACAAGATTATTTTTTTCTTAATTGCGAAAAACATTATGACTTGATAACTCAACTTGATTCAATATTAGAATTTTATGCAAGGAACTTAATTATATAGATATTTTTCTTGCAGAAAAAATAGACCCAAGCTCACAGTTCAAATCTTGTGTCAGCTGTTCTTCAGCGCTCTATTGGGGTTAGTAATAAAGTCTTTGATGGATGGGGTTTCCCTGATTGTTCATATAGATCTTATATTATTATCTTTGTTGATGATTTAATGAAAGAAATTTGATGTGTTTTAGGGTAACACTAGCACAATACTTATTTCTTCTGGGACTTGAATACACATCAGCTACCTTCTCATGTGCGTTTCTCAACGTGGTTCCTGTTATGACATTCTTATTGGCGTTACCATTTAGGTAAGAGTAAGCAGCAAGTCAAATCATTTGGGTTAATGACCAAACCTTTTAATTTCCTTAAAATCTTGCAGACTGGAGAAAGTGAATATGAAAAGCTTCTCTGGGAGGGCTAAGGTGGTGGGTGCACTTTTTTGCATTGGTGGAGCTGTAGTGTTAACCCTTTACATGGGAAAGCCCTTAACAAACCCAAATCATCTGATAGAACAATCCCACATGACGAGTTCAAGAAATAAGACAGAGAGGTGGGCCATTGGTTCTATATTTTTGATTGCAGGGTGCGTTGGGTGGGCTTCATGGTTCCTTATGCAAGCATGGATTGGAAAGAGATATCCATGTCAATATTACAGCACCGCTATTCTGTCCTCCTTCGCTGCCATCCAGTCAGCCATCTTGAGCATAATCATAAAAAGGAACCCTTCTGGGTGGTTTTTGAAAGGATATTTGGAGATAACAAGTATCTTATATGCTGTAAGCATTTCTTTACCATTCAAATATCGCGTACCACATATAACTTAAGTACACCTTTTCCTTCTTCTTATATTCAGGTTATGGAAATTTTAACCCAGATTTAGAATACTAATAAAAGACCATTCGTTTAATGTGTGGAAACAGGGCATAGTGGGATCAGGACTGTGCTATGTGGGGATGTCTTGGTCAGTTAAACGAAGGGGTCCTGTATTCACATCTGCATTTGCTCCTCTTATTCAGATATTTGTAGCCATGTTTGACTTCTCAATCCTGCATGAACCACTTTATTCTGGAAGGTTAATTATTTTCTCAGATCATTCTTTTACGTAATTATTGTGAGATCAGATGATATTATGGTTCCTGAACATCTTCATTTGTTACTAAACAGTGTTGTGGGATCCATCCTAGTTATAATTGGTCTGTACATTCTCCTTTGGGGTAAAAGCAAGGAGATAGAGGAATGCGAGAGTGAGATAGCAAACCCAAGTAGCTCAGCAAGATGAGCAATGTAATGGAGTGTCACATGTCATTCCAATCACTACCGATTAAACAAGTCTTTGATCATGGTGCAGTTCATTCTTACAATTACAGGCCAATCAAATTCCCTGCCGAATTATTTTTCGGGGTTAATGATTGAAACTATTGGGTTCAATTATTGCAGTGTTTTGTAATGAAAGATCTGCATTCTTACATTTTTGAAGTTATAAATTATGGAAAGACAATAATTATCATAGCTTATTGTTTTTGTGAATTATTCATTGGTACTGTTATTGGTAATGACAACATATAAAATATTTCAAGTTATATAATAACTATCCATCTATAGATATTTCAGATGGTTAGGACAAATTGACAATAATGTGGATAGATGGTCATTATTGTAATTTTATCTTTGTTTTCCATTGTTTTCGATGGGTGTGTTTGTTTTAGTATTTTTAATATTTTTAAAGTTAGGTAGGAATAACAAGGTAAGATTTAAAAATTCACAAAACACCCCGTAGATTTGTTAATTTACTAAACACCTCTTAATAAAAACATTTAGAGTTACAAAAACACCCCCACTTACCCATTAAATACCAATAGTTGGCCACCATCGCTAGAGGGTGGCCAGATTTGTCGTATCGGCACATGACCGACTAGATCTGGTCGGTCGTGCGCCAAGATGGCTTTTTCTAGCTAGATCTACAATGACTAGCTACGGCCAAAGATCCGGCCTTTTTTGGCTTGATCCACGGTGGATCTAGTTGAAAAATGATAGATCGGCGCACTACCAGCAAGATTCAATCGGTAGTGCGCCATTATACTAGATTCTGGCTACCTTCCGATGCTGGCCACCAGAATCTGGCAAATATGTGTGGATGAGGGTGTTTTTGTTAAGTTTTAAACTTTTTTTGGAGTATTTATTAAATTAATAAACTTCATGGGTCTAAAAATAATTGATTAAAATACAATAGTATTTACTAAATAATGAAACAAACAGTTATTTTGAGAATATGATTGGAAATATGATAGAAAATAGTATACCAAACAAACTTGATGTTATTATTCTACTCGCGTGGGCTAGCTGTATTATAATTGGGCTAAGCCTGAATTGACGTTTATGTTCCCATTTCGGCCCACTCACAACTTATACCCTAAAGGCTACAACTACTTCGAAAGCCCTATCTCAGTACTTGACCTCTCTTCCCTAATGCGAACTTCGGTTTGACGTTGTTTAGCCAGAGCTTGGAAAATTAAGCTTATTAAAATTTCATTTTTTTAGAAAAAAAAAAAAAAAAAAAATGTTGACTATTTGGCTGCATGAATTATAAAATTTTGTCTAATAGTAAATAACTAAAAATATTCTATAAAAGTATTTGGTATGCCTTCTTTTGAATAAAAATGATCAAAGTAGAACTTATTAAAGTAAATCTTATAAAAACTTTAAATTCAATGGCTATTGAGTCGAGTAATGATCGACATAATGATGTGGCATCCAATATGGATAATGAAAAACCAACGAGAATAAATCATCAGTACATGATTACCTGAATTAATTAATGCTCCAAACAATGCCTTGATGGTTGATTGGCAGTCATTGAATATGATCACTACTGCAAAAAAATAAAGAACACCATTATCACACATAAATTACTCGTGACGATTCAAACACAAGTCAACAGCATCCCCTATATGGTTTCTGAACGTGACATTATGAGATACAATATTAACAAGAATCCCGTTACAGCCACTGCTTTATATAAATTGCCCATTATTTATTTCAGATGCGGAAGTATTAGATGCTATGCAGAAGAAGGGGATGCTTGCCCTTGTCTGTCTCTTTTTTAAGATGCTTATTGCTATTTATATGTAAGTTCTTTAACATTACAATCACTCTTTATTGGAAAAAAGGTCCAGTGAAAGAGAGCACAAGCACAAAAGTGGTGATGTGATTTTCAATTTTCAGTCACCACTATTCTTGTCTGTTTTGCTGTTTATGTATAGTTTATTAATCTGTATGATTTCATTGTGTTTCCACAGAGCGCAAGAATTCGGTAGAGAGGAAAGAAGGTTTCACAACACTTTCTCATTCATAATTAGTATTGAGCAAAAGCTCAATAGTTAGAACATGAATTTCCAAGGACAATTGAAGCCTGTCATCACCATGGTGGCTGTTAACTTTGGATTTGCTGCTGTGAATGTACTTCTTAAGAAGATTCTTGATCAAGGAACCAACCATTTGGTTATTGTTGCATACCGACAGTTAATTTCAGCTATTTTTTTGGCACCCATTGCCTACTTTGTGGAAAGGTAACAATTATTTAGCCTTTCTATTTTAACTTACATTTGAAGTACTTGGGTAAATCCATCCTGTTCTCTAATAACCTTTTCTGTAGAAAATTTTGTAACAAAGAACTTTAAGTTACTCTTCTTGCAGGGAAATTAGACCCAAGCTTACTTTACAGATCTTATGTCAGCTGTTTTTCAGCGCTCTAGTCGGGTTAGTAATAATATCTTTGATTGATGAGGTACCCTTGATTTAGATTATTGTTTTCGTAGACGACTGATGAAATTATTGAAGTATTTCAGGGTAACACTAGCACAGTACTTCCTTCTTCTCGGACTTAAATACACATCTGCTACTTTCTCGTGTGCATTCATCAACATGGTTCCCGTTATCACATTCTTATTGGCGTTACCATTTGGGTAATAGCAAACACTAACTCTATGCATTTGAATTGATAACCAAATTATTAACTACTTCAACACTTGCAGATTAGAGAAAGTGAACCTGAAAAGCTTGGCTGGGGGCTGTAAGGTGTTCGGCACACTTGTTTGCTTTGGTGGAGTTATATTATTGATCCTTTACAAAGGAAAGCCATTAATAAACCAACATCATCTAACAAAACATGGCGACATGACGTTCTCGACAAGTAAGACAGAGAGTTGGGCCATTGGTACAATATTTTTGATAGCAGGATGCATTGTGTGGTCTTCATGGTTCCTTATGCAAGCAAGAATTGGTAAGAGATATCCATGTCAATATTCTAGCACTGCTATTTTGTCCTCCTTCGGTGCCATTCAGTCTGCCATCTTGTGTTTGATTATGGAGAAGAATCTTTCTGGGTGGATTCTGCAAGGAAAATTGGAGATAGCAAGTATCATATATGCTGTAAGTACTCTCTTTCCGACTAACATATCAGATGTCACATAAGATAACTTTATGCTGCAAGTAAAATATCACTTGGCACATAACAAAACTTTATATAAATTTTGTTTCCTTATTCTGCAGAAAAAAAACCATATTTTTTCAAGTTTGAAGTTACTTCCGTTATTCAGTAAAATTCAAGTTATGGAAATGTTAAACCCAGATGCAAAATTCAACAAAAAGCTATTTGTTTCATGCGTGGAAACAGGGCGTGGTGGGATCAGGCTTGTGCTATGTGGGGATGTCTTGGTCTGTTAAACAAAGAGGTCCTGTATTCACATCTGCATTTACTCCTCTCATACAGATATTTGTAGCCATATTTGATTTCTCTATTCTACATGGGCCGCTTCATCTTGGAAGGTTAATTGTTTTCTTAAATTTTTTGTTTTACATAATTATTGCAGCCATCAAATGATTAACACCATCCATTTGTTAATGAACAGTGTTGTAGGATCTATCCTACTTATAATGGGTCTCTACATTCTCCTATGGGGTAAAAGCAAGGAGATAGAGGTATGTCAGACTCAGACCAAGCAAGCTCAAGTTGGTCAGCTGCAAGATGAACAGTCTACTGCAGTTTCGCATATCATTCCAGTCACTAGTGATTCAACAGTTCCTTGACCATTCATGCTTACAAACACCAACGGCGTTCCCTTCCCAAATCGTTTGGTGGGTTGTAACACCATTAATAGGAGCCTAGTTGGTATAATTGTGTTAGTGTACTGTAATGGAGATCTGCATTCTTATAAATGGAGAAAGATAATAATTATCCTCCTTATTGTGTATGAATTAGTCAACTGCTCCTATTATATTATTGGCTTCAATGTTTCACTGATACCATTGCTCAGCATTATCTGATACATATCTCAAATTAAAATTATATAATTAAATTAATAAAACATAATTAAGGACAAACCAAACACACCATACTCGGTCAAATAGATGGAAATACAAATGTGTAAGGAATCGAGAAAGAGAGGGGCGAAAAGAAGTAATTCAAGACAATAATACTGCCATAGTATGCCAAAGAGAAAAGAAAAAAAGAGAAAAGAAAAGAATTTTTCTATATTTTTCGGTATATTGTAAGCCTGTACAATGGCTAATTTAAACAATTCTTGTAAATGTAAAATATGAAAACAATAAATACAAATCCTTGTAATTTGTTCAATCAATCACATGAATTAAGGTGATTGATTGAAGCCTTAATCACTTCTTAATCTTAGCCAGCAGAGATCAAGGGAAATCAATAATAATAAAGATGCATTCCATATTTTGTCGCTCCCCCTCAAGCTTGTGGTTTGTAAATATCAAAAACTCCAAGTTTGCTAAATAGATATGGATGATGTCTGTTGCATAATGGCTTTATGAAGATGTCTGCTGGTTGTTCTGAAATACAAATGTGTAAAGTCTTAATCACCCATTCTTGTATTTTACTCCTGCAGTCAATTTCTATATGTTTTGTTCTTTCATGGAATACTAGATTTGCTGCTATGTCGTTTGCAGCCTTATTATCACAATATAAAAGAATACTCACTTGTACTTCTAGATCTTTCAATAATCCCAGAATCCAGACGATCTCACACGTTGTCTTTGCCATGACTCTGTATTTGACTTCTGTTGAAGAAAGAGATAATTTTGATTGTTTCTTTGTTTTCCAAGAAATAAGAGCTCCCCTTAGCTTGATGCAGAATCCTGTAAGTGATTTTCTTGTCACCGAACATGTGGCCCAGTCTGAGTCATAGTGAGTTGTGATATCCAAACCTTTGTCTCGAGGAAGGAGGAGTCCTAAGCTAGGACATGCTTTTAAGTATTTTAGAACCTTTATCATTGCATCTATTTGAGATTGTTTCGGTCCATGCATGAACTGACTAAGAATGTAGGCTGCAATGCATAACTGATGTTTGGACGAGTTATGGTGAGGTAGATCAATCACCCAACAAATTCTTGATAGTTTGTGGGGTCTTCTAGAGGTGGATCATCTTCAGTAGACGATATCCCATTGTCATATTCTTGATTAGTCAATTTGGTATTTTGTTCTACTGGAATAATACTTGGCTTGCATCCTGATAGCCTAGAATCAGAAATGGGTTCCAAGAAATATTTCCGTTGGTTGAGAGATATTCCCGCCGGGGATCTTGCAATTTCCATTCCTAGGAACTATTTTGGCTCTCCTAGATCTTTTATTCGGAATTTTCTGTTGAGATGCTCTTTCAAGGATTTGATGCCTACTTGATCATTTCCTGTAATAAGAATGTCATCGACGTAGATGATTAGAGCAATAAAAGTTTTACCTTTGTGCTAGGTAAATAATGCATAGTCATGTTTGGGCTGAACATATCCTATACCAGTGAGAGCTTTGTTGAATTTCTCATTCTATTGTCGGGATTTTTATTTTAGTCCATAGCGGGATTTTCGCAGACAACATATTGTGTTTTCCCCCTATCTGTGAATGTTAGGAGGAAGATCTATATAAATTTCCTCATGAAGATCACCATGAAGGAAGGTATTATGAAAATCCATTTGATGGAGAGGCCAGTCATGAACGGAAGCCACTGTAAGGAAAGCACGAACAATGACATGTTTGGCATTGGTGAGAAAGTCTCCTGATAATCAAATCCCTCACACTGAGTGAATCTTTTGGCTACCAATTGGGCTTTGTAATGTTCAATGGAGCCATCAGCATGGTGCTTGAGTTTTGTAAACTCATTTGCAGCCAATGGATTTTCTATGAGAGGGACAAGGCACTAGATCTCATGTATGATTCTGAGTCAAAGCAGTAAGTTCATCAGCCATTGCTTAATGCCAATGAGATTGTTGAACATCATCTGAGTAACTAGTAGGTTCTCAGTCGACGAAGATGTGACTGATACAAGCTCTGTGTGCGGGAGAGAGCCGGTTATAACTCACATAATTGGAGGTAGGATACAATGTACTTGAGGAATCTGAAATTGTGGACACTTATAGTTTGTTGTCCAGATTGGTGGCCAAGTATGCCTAGTACTACGACGTGTGGGAACAGCTTGAACTAGAACACTGGATCCTGGTGGGAAAACAGCTGGAACAGGGGATCTTGGTGGGGAAACAACAACAGGTATTTGAATAGGTGATTCTGCTAAAGGATCATCAGTGGCTGCTTTGTTAGAATCAAAGGTAGGAGTATCAGGCTGAGAAACCAAAGGAGCAGGTAGAATAGTAAAAATAAGATCCAGTAGAGCATCAGCTTCAGGAAATAGCTTGCACGATGGAGATGAAGTTGTATTCTTGGTGGCAAATGGAAAAATTTCTTCATGAAACACAACACCTCTGGAGATCTGAAACCTGTTTGCAACCGGATCATACACTCATATTATATTATTGGCTTCAATGTTTCACTGATACCATTGCTCAACATTATCTTATACATATCTCAAATTAAAATTATATAATTAAATTAACAAAACATAATTAAGGACAAACCAAACACACCATACTCGATCAAATAGGATGGAAATACAAATGCATTTAATATTTTTACTGAATTTGACACCAACAAAATAAGCACATGCAAACTACTACGAATCTATATGTGAGGTGATTATGAGAATGTTTTTAATGTAATATAATATATGTTTGAAGAAACATAAATAAAAGATAGACATGAGAGATTTTTGAAATAGTTCAGATACTATAAGTAAGTCCTATATTCATTGTTATTTTATTGTCTGATAGTGTTTTTTATATTGCTAGGAAAGCGAAAGATGGAATAATGCTTTTTTTAATGAAATGATTATTTGCTTGCTTGGCTTGAAGAAATTGCAACGTGTAGCAATTATTTCTTCCTCAAATTCTGACGACTTCTTGGGGTTGTGCCAAATGACCCTTCGTTGATAACAGCTTCATTTTATGGGAGCCAGACAGCCAGTTGGGTGACAAGTGACAACACAACATTCAAGTTTGTTTATAATGGCAAGGACACGTGGCCTGAATCCACGCATTAGGGCTTTTATGGCACAACACCATATTAAAGATTTCCCTCCACCCATTGCTTAAGCTTTCAAATTAATATTTAAATTTAATATTGTTTATAGCAATACGAGATATTTTCTGCTGAAGGATTATCAATGGCTACTGTGTTAGAATCAGAGGTAGGATATCAGGCTGAGAAACCAAAGGAGCAGGTAGCATAGTAAAAATAGGATCTGGTAGAGCATCAGCTTCAGGTTTCTACAAACACCAACGGCGTTCCCTTCCCAAATCGTTTGGTGGGTTGTAACACCATTAATAGGAGCCTAGTTGGTATAATTGTGTTAGTGTACTGTAATGGAGATCTGCATTCTTATAAATGGAGAAAGATAATAATTATCCTCCTTATTGTGTATGAATTAGTCAACTGCTCCTATTATATTATTGGCTTCAATGTTTCACTGATACCATTGCTCAGCATTATCTGATACATATCTCAAATTAAAATTATATAATTAAATTAATAAAACATAATTAAGGACAAACCAAACACACAATTAAATTAATAAAACATAATTAAGGACAAACCAAACACACCATACTCGGTCAAATAGATGGAAATACAAATGTGTAAGGAATCGAGAAAGAGAGGGGCAAAAAGAAGTAATTCAAGACAATAATACTGCCATAGTATGCCAAAGAGAAAAGAAAAAAAGAGAAAAGAAAAGAATTTTTCTATATTTTTCGGTATATTGTAAGCCTGTACAATGGCTAATTTAAACAATTCTTGTAAATGTAAAATATGAAAACAATAAATACAAATCCTTGTAATTTGTTCAATCAATCACATGAATTAAGGTGATTGATTGGAGCCTTAATCACTCCTTAATCTCAGCCAGCAGAGATCAAGGGAAATCAATAATAATAAAGATGCATTCCATATTTCGTCGCTCCCCCTCAAGCTTGTGGTTTGTAAATATCAAAAACTCCAAGTTTGCTAAATAGATATGGATGATGTCTGTTGCATAATGGCTTTGTGAAGATGTCTGCTGGTTGTTCTGAAGTATAAATGTGTAAAGTCTTAATTACTCATTCTTGTATTTTACTCCTGACAAATTGGTAATCAATTTCTATATGTTTCGTTCTTTCATGGAATACTAGATTTTTTGCTATGTCGTTTGCAGCCTTGTTATCACAATATAAAAAAATACTCACTTGTACTTCTAGATCTTTCAATAAACCCAGAATCCGGACGATCTCACACGGTGTCTTTGCCATGGCTCTGTATTTGGCTTCTGCTGAAGAAAGAGATATTGTCGATTGTTTCTTTGTTCTTCAAGAAATAAGAGCTCCCCCTAGCTTGATGCAGAATCCTGTAAGTGATTTTCTTATCATCGGACATGTGGCCCAGTCTGAGTCATAGTGAGCTGTGATATCCAAACCTTTGTCTCGAGGAAGGAGTCCTAAGCTAGGACATCCTTTTAAGTATTTCAGAACCTTTATCGTTGCATCTATTTGAGATTGTTTAGGTCCATGCATGAACTGACTAAGAATGTAGGCTACAATGCATAACTGATGTTTGGACGAGTTATGGTGAGGTAGATCAATCACCCAACAAGTCTTTGATAGTTTGTAGGGTCTTCCAGAGGTGGATCATCTTCAGTAGACGATATCCCATTGTCATATTCTTGATTAGTCAATTTGGTATTTTGTTCTACTAGAATAATACTTGGCTTGCATCTTGATAGCTTAGAATCAGAAATGGGTTCCGAGACATATTTCCGTTGGTTGAGAGATATTCCTGCCAGGGATCTTGCAATTTCCATTCCTAGGAACTATTTTGGCTCTCCTAGATCTTTTATTCGGAATTGTCTGTTGAGATGCTCTTTCAAGGATTTGATGCGTACTTGATCATTTCTTGTAATAAGAATGTCATCGACGTAGATGATTAGAGCAATAAAAGTTTTACCTTTGTGTCAGGTAAATAATGCATAGTCATGTTTGGGCTGAACAAATCCTATACTAGTGAGAGCTTTGTTGAATTTCTCATTCTATTGCCGAGATGCTTATTTTAGTCCATAGAGGGATTTTCGCAGACAACATACTATGTTCTCCCCCTGTCTATGAATGGTAGGAGGAAGATTTATATGAAGGAAGGTATTATGAACATCCATCTGATGGAGAGGCCAGTTACGAATGGAAGCCATTTTAAGGAAAACACGAACAATGACATGTTTGACATTGGTGAGAAAGTCTCTTGATAATCAAATCCCTCACGTTGAGTAAATCTTTTGGCTACCAATTGGGCTTTGTAATGTTCAATGGAGCCATCAGTATGGTGCTTGATTTTTGTAAACTCATTTACAGCCAATGGGTTTTCTATGAGAGGAACGAGGCACTAAATCGAAGGTATGATTCTGAGTCAAAGCAGTAAGTTCATCAGCCATTGCTTGAAGTCAGTGAGATTGTTGAACAACATCTGAGTAACTAGTGGGTTCTCAATCGGCGGAGACATGATTGATACAAGCTCTGTGTACGGGAGAGAGACGGTCATAACTCATATAATTGGAGGTAGGATACAATGTACTTAAGGAATCTGAAATTGTGGACACTTATAGTTTGTTGTCCAGATTGGTGGCCAAGTATGCCTAGTACTACGACGTGTGGGAACAGCTTGAACTAGAACACTGGATCCTGGTGGGAAAACAGCTGGAATAGGGGATCTTGGTAGGGAAACAGCAGTAGGTATCTGAATAGGTGATTCTGCTGAAGGATTATCAATGGCTACTGTGTTAGAATCAGAGGTAGGAATATCAGGCTGAGAAACCAAAGGAGCAGGTAGCATAGTAAAAATAGGATCTGGTAGAGCATCAGCTTCAGGTTTCTATGAGAGGGACAAGACACTAGATCCCAGGTATGATTCTAAGTCAAAGCAGTAAGTTATCAGCCATTGCTTGAAGCCAGTGAGATTGTTGAACAACATCTGAGTAACTAGTGGGTTCTCAGTCGACGGAGACATGACTGATACAAGCTCTGTGTACGGGAGAGAGACGGTCATAACTCACATAATTGGAGATAGGATACAAAGTACTTGAGGAATCTGAAATTGTGGACACTCATAGTTTGTTGTCCAGATTAGTGGCCAAGTATGCCGAGTACTATGGCGTGTGGGAACAGCTTGAACTAGAACACTGGATCCTGGTGGGAAAACGGTTGGAACAGGGGATCTTGGTAGGGAAATAGCAGTAGGTATCTGAATAGGTGATTTTGCTGAAGGATCATCAGTGGCTACTGTGTTAGAATCAGAGGTAGGAGTATCAGGCTAAGAAACCAAACGAGCAAGTAGCATAGAGAAAAATAGGATCCGGTAGAGCATCAGCTTCAGGAAATAGCCTGCACGATGGAGATGAAATAGTATTCTTGGTGGCAAATTAAAAAATGTCTTCATGAAACACAACATCTCTGGAGATCTGAAACCTGTTTGCAACCGGATCATACACTCCTATTATATTATTGGCTTCAATGTTTCACTGATACCATTGTTCAACATTATCTTACACATATCTCAAATTAAAATTATATAATTAAATTAATAAAACATAATTGAGGACAAACCAAACACACAATACTCGATCAAATAGGATGGAAATACAAATGCATTTAATATTTTTACTGAATTTGACACCAACGAAATAAGCACATGCAAACTACTACGAATCTATATACGAGGTGATTATGAGAATGTTTGTAATGTAATGATAATATATGTTTGAAGAAATATAAATAAAAGATTGACAAGAGAGATTTTTGGAGTGGTTCGGATGCTGTAAGCAAGTCCTATATTTACCGTTATTTTATTATTTTCTGACTGTTTTTTTGATATTGTCCGTAAAGCGTAGAAAGATGAAGTAATAATTTTTTTAATGAAATGATTATTTGCTTGCTTGGCTTGAAGAAATTGCAAAGTGTAGCAATTATTTCTTCCTCAAATTCTGATGACTTCTTGGGGTTGTGCCAAATGACCCTTTGTTGATGACAGCTTCATTTTATGGGAGCCAGACAGCCAGTTGGGTGACAAGTGACAACACAACATTCAAGTTTATTTCTAATGGCAAGGACATGTGGCCTGAATCCACGCATTAGAGATTTTATGGCATAACACCATATTAAAGATTTCCCTCCACCCATAGCTTAAGCTTTCAAATTAATATTTAAATTTAATATATCTACTTGTTAACAATATATTGTTTATAGCAATACGAGATATTATCGATATTATGAAATTAATTTGGATTTTCTAAATTTTATATTATAGTATTTCCTTTTTTTTTTTAGTTGCGTGGGCTAGAAATATTAATATTGGGCTTATCGTCGGTTGAACTTAGGCCGGCCCATTTCAGCTCGATTACAATCTCTAATACCCTACTTCTCTTTTCAAAAACCCTAATAACCACAGTGTTTTCATCGTCTTCTTCTCCCTTGCTCCGTCACTGTAAACCAGAGAAAAGGCAAAGCAGAAATGGGGGGAAAGAGAAAGAAGAGCGAAAGCCAAAAATTAATCGAAGGAGGGAAAGACAATGATAAGAATAAAGAAGGCAGCAATAAGAAGAAGAGGGAGATACTCCCATCCATGATAAAAAACAAAGAGAAGAGATCATCAGTACACGCCAAGCTCAAGCACGAGAAGAAGCTCGAGAAACGCAAGAAACTCAAGGCCCGTGATGCCGCCGAGAAACTAGCTCTCGAGCTCGGTGAGGAGGTCCCATCTCCACTTCTTAACCCTAACCTCTCTCTTGATATTATTAGGTAGATTTAGAATGATAATTGAAATAATGCCTTGGAATTAATTTTGTTTTATGGTCTGTGCAGCCTCCGCCAAGGATGGTCCCTCGCACTATTGAAAATACACGGGAGCCCGATGAAACCGTATGCAGGCCCGATGATGATGAGGTAATTTTGACTTTTGGATGTCCTTAATTCTTGGTTTCTTTGAATCGTAGTGTTTGTAAGTGATAATTGTATTCTAGAATAGTGGGAATACATGGCTTAGGGACTTAATTTAATTCCCATTGTTGAAATTGTATACTTCGAAATTAAAAAAAATTAAAATCTGACAGTTGTACAACTTTCCGGTATACCGATACAACTGCTCTACGTTATATAATTTGACTTGATCTCCTTAAATGATTTTTTCTTTGATTTTTTTATGCAAAAATTGCTCATTGCGTGTTTTAGGCTTGTAGCTGACCTTTTATTTATCCTTATTTGCAGCTTTTTGCTGGTAATGATGCAGACGAGTTTAGTTCTGTACTGAAGCATGATCGTACTCCAAAGATATTGATCACAACATGCCGTTTCAACTCTACCGTATGTCCCACTTCTCTTCTCTTTTAGAGATTGAAAGATTCGTAGAGTTTTCACCTTTTTCTTATTAAGGATATTCTTTTTTATGTTTTCTGATAAGGTTAAGTTATTGTTTGTTCTTGGTCTGCAGAGAGGACCAGCTTTTATATCAGAACTACTTACAGTCATCCCAAATGCACACTATTTCAAGAGAGGAACCTATGACTTGAAGAAGGTGCTGGTTATTATTTATTATTCCCTCAATTTTTTTCCCAAATCCAATTAATAGTACATTTGACGATATATAAATTATTATTTCAACAGATTGTAGAATATGCTAACAACAAGGACTTCACTTCTATTATAGTTGTTCACACCAATCGCAGGGATCCAGGTTAGTGGTACTTACTGCTGTGTGATAAATTTTGCGTGTTTCTGCACTTAGACTATGTTTTTATTAACTGGCTTAATTATTTTCTTTTATTTGTATGAGAATGATTTTTTATGGGTGGGTTGTTTACAATTGTGACTATAAAATCAAGGATTCTATCTGACAATCATTTGCGGCTGTCTTTCAGATGCTCTTCTAGTCATTGGCTTGCCTGATGGACCTACTGCCCATTTCAAGCTTTCAAAGCTTGTTTTGCGCAAAGAAATCAAGGTTTGTAGCTAACATCTTGAATTTTTTTATCTAATTCTTTAAATATGTCGTTATAACTGAAATAGTTAATGCTAAAGCCACCAGTGTAATTGAAGCAAAGTGATTGAAAAGAGTAATATTTATGCTAGTATACTCAGTTGAACGTTATAACACCTATCAATGTTCTGCCTTAATAAGTTAGAATAAGCTCTATTATTTCATTTCCTTTATGATAGATACCAATGTATTAGATGTTGACTGATATGAAAGGTTCTCTTATCATTTATATCTTAATTGGTTTCTTTCAGAATCATGGAAATCCTACTGGTCACTTGCCTGAGCTGGTATTAAATAACTTCACTACACGCCTAGGTCACCGCGTTGGGAGGTTGCATTCTCTTACTTTTTAATATTTCAATAAAGATTTACGCTTTTAATTGAATTGTTATGTCGTGCTTCATCTACCTAACAATTTATTTTGTTAATTTTTCCATCTAGATTGATACAGTCGCTTTTTCCACAAGATCCTGAATTTCGTGGTCGGCGAGTTGTAACCTTTCATAATCAACGAGACTTCATATTCTTCCGGCATCATCGGTGTGTGTACTTGCATTTATTAGCTGCTGCATGTAAATAATTTGTTCCTTTTTTCTAACTTATGGTTCTCTGACAAAAGATTATCATTTTAATGCCTGCAGGTACATCTTTGAAACCAAAGAAAGCAAAGAAAGTGATTCAAAAGGTAAAAAAGCAAAGGAAGACTCTAAAAGTAAAAAAGCAAAAGATGCTAAGGGTGAGAAAATCACTAAAGAGAAAGTAATAGCTCGCCTTCAGGTTGGTTTTCCCTAAATTGTATGTACTGCATTTGTGTTTATGAATTTGTGTTTACATGGAATTCTTATTATCCCTGATCAAATGCCTTTACTGTCTTGTATGATGGCTTATTACAGTTTTGAATTGGGATATCGAATTACTGCATAAAAGTTTTTGATATGTTGTTAGTATCTAGTATTTTAGCAAGTTATCTTTTTTGAAGTTTATGTGAACTGTGAATGTCTAAACGCAAGTTCAATTTCCTCTCAATACACAGGAGTGTGGTCCCCGATTCACACTGAAGTTGATCAGTCTGCAGCATGGAACATTTGATACCAAAGGTGGAGAATTTGAGTGGGTTCATAAGGTAATTGATTACATCTCAACCACATTGATTTTGTATCTGAGATGGGTGTTTTTCCTTTTTTCTCATATCTGTTATCTATTCTTGGACATTTCAGCCGGAGATGGACACTAGCCGAAGGAGGTTTTTCTTGTAACATATATGGATTCTTTAATATCTTCGCCTTAAAATTGAAGCATTTCTGGTGGAGGGTTCTTATATGCAACAACCGACGCTGAGATTTGTACCAATTGTCTGCTTCAATGTGGTGGATACCTCTTATTTCACGAATTACGTCATGAGCTTTGATGAACAGATATATGATATATCATTTTTTTCGAATTATGTATCCAGTATGGGATAAAAATGATTGTAATTCAATTATAAGCAATAATTATATTAATCAACATATTTTTCGTAACTATAGTGTTTCGTTTTCGATGTAAGATGAGATTTTTTAGCTTTATAAGACAGCCAACAAAAACAGAAAATAGAAAACGTAGGAAATTTGGTCGAAAAGGAAAATCTGTTGCATTCTGTACATTCAAAGCATGCATGTATAACTTCATGAGTTACGGGGAACAATACGAGGACAGAGAGAAATCAACTATACAGTTTGTCTGCGTCCAAACTCCAACGGAGTAGAGCGGCCAACAAGGCAACAACTTCATCAGGCCATTGATCTTCTAGGAGACGCACGTTGGAGTAACCAGCAACTTTTTTGGAGCCCGAGTAATCTTGCCTATTTGTAATAGACAAAAACCTTTTTTCATTTTTCATAATTGGAATGCAATTGTAAAACCTGATTGCATGCCTGTTTGAGTAGATGAAGGCAAATCAATACAAATATGCATCCAAAAGCAGTAACTCGCAACAGATATTGTTCTGGAGGAGAGTTAATAACTAGATAAACAGAATCTTTAGTTACCAAAATCCAACCTAAACTTTCTAAGATGGACTTGATTACTGTTATCTTTCCTCTGTTCGCCTCAGAAAGTCTACGTATAATCCTCAAGCATAATGTACTGGCAACAAAAAATGTAGTTACTGACCAACCCCTGTAAGTAACCAGCTTCCCTCCCACAACCAGAGCCTCTTTTCGGCACACACAAGAAACACATTCGCCAGAGAATCTTGATGACACAAGAGCATCAAAACCTGTATAATAAGGTAAAATAACAGAGTCCAGATATACGCTTGCATGTAAAATACCGGAAATTGTTGATGCCTCAAAGAACGCATACTTAACGTCTTCGTTAACTAATTCATTGTTGAATGTGAGAGCAGAAATGTAAAGCAGTTGAAGGATGGCGGGACCAATGCAGGAGAGAGGAAATATAGTGTTGATCCTGTGTCCCTTGGCTAGCATTAAGAGAAATATAGGAAGGGAAACTGGACCAGACGGTAGCAAGTATCTCTTTGATTGAGCGACAGAAGTTCGTCCTCTTCTTGAAATATCAATGACCATCAGCACTAGCGTTGCCAGATATGAAGTTGTTGCAAAGATAAGAACAAGAACATCAACCGTAGGAGGATAGTTTCCAGGGTAATTGCTGTCGCAGTAGTAATGATAAGGGCAGCTTAGTGGATCCAGTGTTTCTTCTACTTGCCATCTAATACATTTGAAGAAAGTGCTGCGGACATCTTCCAAATCCCATTCTGGAAAAAGTGCTGCATTTTCTGGACGCAGAAGTTGCCTATCCATTGTGTTGTTTTATGTTGCCATTTTGATCTCCTTACATGCAGATCACTCTTATCGTATATATAAAATGGTAGGAATATAATGCAGCCTTGTCGTCAGGTAAGAAAATGGCAGTTATACTTGGTTGAGATGCTTTAAGTGATGGTAAAATGGATAACGAAATGCCATCTAATTTTGTTCTTCTTTATCTTTTACTCAAGCATGGTTTATTAAGTTACTTAGGTGAGAGTGTACCAGCGAATCACGTAAGACGACGTACTTGCTCGCTATTTAATCTTGTTTATATCTGTAAAAAGGTCGAGTATTTTTGTCTTAATGTTTCTTTGAGGGAATGTTTTCTTGACAATAAGCTTATTCTTTCCTATCAAATCCTGTAATTTTACTTAATGCCTGAAAATAGAAAGAAGTTATGGAATTGTATATTAACAGCAACAGAGAGAGTAGGTTGTTTGTATTTACTTTTAATTTTATATTCTAATTAGAATTTGGATTTGGAGTTGAGAATCAATCAAATAGGTAAGAGAGTACATTCAGAGAGTAGATAGAGGTTGAGCTAGTTTGGTGGTAAAGGAAGGATGTTTGGTGGGTGATTGCTACTGATTTAATGATAGTTTACCAATTTGTTAGGATGATCCCATCTTCATCCAGATTTTTACTATACTCTACTAGTGATATTACTAATATTTTAATACAGGAATGCACAAAACTACTTTCTCATCAAGTATGGTATGATAATTAAATATTTCTTCATGCTACGACCTCAGCTGCTCATCATAAAGTCATTTACGATTCTCAGTTGAGTTGTTCAGATTAGGACAATATCTATCTGCTAACATCACATAATAATAGGCGAATAACACGCACCTTTTTAATTCAATTCAACACATTTTATAAATGTCAACAAATAAGGGAGGGACAAAACACAACAGAAAATTACAATTTAATTCAAGTTTTGACAGTCAGTCCCCTGGATCTATTATGTCCCTGTCAGTTGACGGAATTTCAATTTTATAAATATAATGACTAATTAAGTCAAACATTAAGGACGAAATTGTAATTTACTCAAAACAGAAGCCCTGGGCCATAAAGGCCATTCGTCGACCAAACTCATACGTTAGTCGATTGAAGGTGGTCCGAATTAGTTGTCACGTGGCAACGTGCAATCGCTTGGATGTAGTAGTAACTATCGTCATAAGCACCGACACGTACAGCCTGTCAGAAAACGCGTACCGATATTTAAAATTTTACATTTTAGTACCTGATTCCTTACTTAAGATTACGACAAAAATCATGGTTACTATAATGTTTGAAGTAATCAGAGTTCTGTACTTGTGTCCCCCATCTCCATCTTTTTGTGAGTAATTGTTTCAATTTATTAAATTAAAATAAAATAAAAAAATGGTACTTGACTCGTGAATTATTGTTTTAACTGTTATGGACTCGGTTAATTAATAAATAGTCAAATATAATATGAATAAAAATTGAATTATTTGCGGCCCATAGGCTCTCATATATTCACGAGATAAGTAAGGAAATGAATCGTGGAGATTGGTATGAAGCTCCACCGTTGATTATTAATCAATTGGCTGATTGTTGAAACGCAAAGAATATTCAGTAACTAACAGCCCATAGAGAAACAGCTAAGCTGTTTATAGAAATTGTAAACAACAAAAAGATGTTGGGCCCTTTTGTTTTGTATGCAGACAGGAACATTAACAAACAAAGAGCAATCCATTTCGTTTTCATCTCTCTAAAAAATTCCTCCAGTCTGGATTCCCCATAAAGCATTTTAATTCCATCCACAAAATCATCATTTCTCTTCTTTCCGGAAGCGTCATTTCTCTTATTCCCCACAATCTGGATTCCCATTAAACCTATCTGAAATGGTTGGTTGCTTTCTGAGCTTGATTCGTGAACCTTTCTTTCTCGTACGTTTAAGATTGATTGGTAAGGCAACTGGGATTGATGTTGGTTTTTGTTTGAATATAAATGAAACTGGTGGCGGTGGTGGAATCCAATTCTAACATCCCCAATATCAATTCAAGTGGGAACGATTCCTCTGTTTATAAAAGGTCAAGTTTCAGAATAAACGGCAGGTACCTGTCTTCTGTAATGGGAGAGCCTTGCATTTCTTGTACGACTTTTAACATTTTGGCTCCTATTTACAAGCGTCTCGATGAACAGGTCTATAATCTTCTTCCATCTTATGTTGCTGTTACATTTGATATTTAATTATAAGCTTTCACTTAGTTTAGTCTTGTTTTTGTGAATGATATAGAATCAAAGCCTTCGTGAAAGCGACTTCAAAGAATCCTGGTTCAAAAGAAACCAGGCGATTTTGGATTGGTTGCTTTATGAAAGATCTTCCATTATATGTCTTCAGGTGTTTTTCATGTACCCTTTTGCCTTATTTATTTGTATCAATATGTTATTCTTTGTTATGAAATCAGTACTCAGCAAGCACCATTTTCCATGGCATTTTGGTGTGGTTACTAGGAGTTTTGGGTTGGAAATGAAGAACTCGTGCGTATGTACCAGGAGAGACTTGGTGATGCAGGCTACATTACTTTCAAGCTTGCACGAACCAATAACCGTGGGGACGGTATGTGCTCATTAACTTATATTTTTTCTATTCTATTCAAATTTCTAATTTTTAGAAATTTCCAATACCAATCAATCACAATAGTAGATGATTTGATTGTTTAAATGTGTTGAACTCAACTAAATAAATTCTTTTGGAATTATTAGTTTAGGCAGCTTCCAAAGTAATTATCACAAACTTTTATTTTGCTCTCAGGGCTTTTAACAGCTTTACATCGGAGCTGCTTCAGGGTTCTAAACTATCGAGAGTTGCTTTTTAATGACTTTGGAGACCGAGTGGCTCAACTAGTACATGTTCAATCTGTTGTTCCCTTCTTACCAAACCAAAAGGGCGGCCAACAAGAAATTCTAATTGTAAATACCCATTTGTTATTTCCTCACGATTCCAGCCTATCTATTGTAAGATTGCATCAGGTATACATGTTCTCTTCTGAGCAATTATTTTGCTTATTTTCTATCACTGTTTTGATTCTTCTTAATCATGATGTTGACCACCATGCTTCATATTATTTTGATAGGTATATAAAATACTGCAATATCTAGAAGTGTATCAGAGAGAAAATAAGCTTAACAACATACCCATTATACTCTGTGGGTGAGTTTATTTTTTTGTGCCACCCACCCCTCCTAAATTGATATTCTCTTACTTATCTTCTTAGAATGTATGCATTTATTTATATTTCCAACTGCAATCTGCCTTCTGCAGTGACTGGAATGGGAGCAAACGAGGGCATGTTTACAAATTTCTTAGGTCACAGGGATTTGTATCATCTTATGATAATGCTCATCAATATACTGATGGTGATGCAGATGCTCACAAGGTTTGTTTTATGCCTATATATCACTAAGCCAGCAACAATGTTTTCAATGCTTAATATTTACAATATCGGTTGCATGCCTGTCAAATCTCATAGTGGGTAAGCCATCGAAATCATCGGGGGAACATCTGCGGAGTTGATTTTATTTGGCTTCATAATCCTGATAATAAATCAAGAAAACCACTAAAGACTAGTTGGGCTGAAGCAGTTTTTGGTACCATAAAGGTGCGTAATTATCTTGCCATTTACATGTTTTTGTTGCCATTCTATATGCATCATGTCATTACTCTGTACTTTCCAATATCCTGCCACAAAAGCTAAAAATTATTGGTTTTATGAGACTCAGAAAGAAATCAAGTAAGCTATAGTGTTTGAACACCACATAAATTTCACATATTATACAGCTCTGGTTAGTAAGTGCATGTGGGCTGTACTTCGTGCAATATGTGAACTATGTCTTTGACAACTGTACACTAAAAAAAATTTGCACTGCTTCAATAGCTGATTGGAAGTTCCAACTACCAAGTGAAAAATTATAGATCCGAAAATTAACACTTAAACTTATAGTTCTTATTCTTTTGTCACTTAGATTTGTGTAAAATTGGGGCATGAATTGTAAGCCTGCTCCATTCCACTTCTGTAAAATATTGTTGGAGAATATAAGCATGAAGATGTAGATCAACCATATGGAGCTTTCTATATCTAATGCAAAAATTTCTTGGTTGCAGAATCAGCTTCAAAAAGCTTCCTTGGCTGAAAATGAGGCTTTTGTCTTTTTGAAGGCTGACAACAATGGTGAGGTTATTACTTATTCAGCTTTCTGTGAAGCCCTTCACCAGGTATTCAAATATCAGCCATTTAGTTTAAACCTATTAGCAACAATGAATATAAAAAATGACTTTGCATTTCTTGTACAGGTAAATTTAGTTGGCCAACCTTATGGACTGAGTTTCCAAGAAACATATGATCTGTGGAAACAAGCAGATGTTGATGGAGATGGTGTTGTTAATTATGAAGAATTTAAGGTATTTTACCTATATTTTCTTTTTTCATATTATTAGTTGTTTTTACTCGCAGAAGCCTTGTTCATTGCGTTGTCTCTTGTCAAAATTTGGATGTTTAATCAAGTAAAAGAGAATGGGATCATAATGAAAGAAGAAAACGAAAAAGGGAATGGCTAAATTTGCAACATTTTTATCAGTTTTGATTAATGGTGTTTGAGGTGTTCGAGTGATCAATTGTGAATATAATCTTCACACTCTATGAGTGTCACTAAAGGAGTGTGTAGTTTTGTGGTGTATTTTCATCACTCCGCAAGTTTTATGTTGCATATCCCAGCCTGCATAATTGAATACAATTTTAATAATTATTGGCATTGCAACAGAGGATGTGGAATTCAACTTGTTCAGAGCAAATAGATGATACTTTCAATGACAATATGGAGACTTCCACAGAGCACGCAGAAGAAGTAGTAGTTGGTTTCACAGTAAAGTATGCATTTCTCTTCCCCCGAGAAGTTGAGAAAGGATTATGGCCCGAGAACTACTCTCTTTCTGACCATGCCCCACTCAGTGTTGTATTTTCACCGGTGCGGATGCAGGCTTCTTAATAGATGTAGGCATATTTATAGATAAAACCACTCCTAGGGAAAGAACAGAATTTTGTAAAAGCTTGAAAATCATGTATGGATAGCCCATAGAAAATCTCTTATTGGGTTGGTTGTTTGTTTTTGAATTTAATCATTTGTGTAGACCCAAAATAGATGAAAACTTTTTCAAGAAAGGGAAAACCATGTGCTCAACTTCGGAGTTAATATGAAACAAGAGAAAATACAAAGGCCTCAACGGGTTCTATTATTTTACCAATTGTGAATATAAGAAAAGTATCATTCTACACATATATTTAACTTGATAGATAATTTGGAAAAATTTATCATGCTGCCAAACAGAATATGAAATAGAGTTCATGAGAATAAACAAAACAAAAAAGTGAACCGATGAAAGATAATCTAATAATAAAGGATGATTATTTATATTGAATGTGGTTGCCAAAATCAAAGACATGCTTGCGAGTTGCGATTGCGACTGATGCAGAGGAGGATGTGGTGGATATGATCACTTAATTGGGCGTCATGTAATTAGTATCCGACTTGTAGTAGTGTCCAGTAATTAGGTGGGAGAAAATGTTCGTGAACCAATTGGGTAGTAGATATTATCACATAATAGCCTTTTGTGTATTAAACATGATCACATAGTAAGACCATGTAATTAATTATGGTCTAACATGATGAGGGTGTCAAGTAATTAGGTGGGGAAAATATTTGGCACTCCAACTGGGTAGTAGACATGATCATCTAATAGTCTTTTGGGTAATAGAACAATGGAAGATGAATTAATAGTGGAAGCCGAGGAAGTGAAGAATGCGGTTGGCGCCGAGAAGGTTGTGAAGGACGCAGAGGAATTCAAGGATGTGGAGATCACCGAGAAGAATGTGGAGGAAGGATGAGGACACCCAAAAAAAATAAAAAAAATGTAGGGAAATTTTTTTCCATTTGTTTTAGTATTTTGGATTGTATTTTTGAAAAAGTAAAAGTTGGAGGGAATAATGACGTAGGATTTAAAAAGTAACAAAAACACTCTCCTAGATTTGTTAATTTACTAAATACCATTGTAATAAAAACATTAAAAATTACAAAAACACTCCCACCTATCCATTAAATACCGACAACTGGCTACCACCACCGGAGATTGGCCAGAGTCGTCATATCGGCTCACGATTGGCTGGATCTAGCTGGTCATGCGACGAGATGGCCTTTTCCAGTCAAATCCACCGTGGATCAGGTCGTAAAAGGCCAAACATACGGCCAGATCTAGCAATGTTTGGTCTCCAATGACGGCCAAAGATATAACCGTTATTGACGACCAAAGATATAACCGTCATTGACGATCAGCTACGGCCAAAGATCTGGCCGTCAACGACCAAATCTTTGGCCGTAGATCAAGCCTTTTTCAGCTAGATTCATAATGGATCTGGTCGAAAAATGATAGATCGACGTACTACTGGCCATATCCAATTAGTAATATGTCATTATACCAGATTCTGGCTATCTTTTGACGGTGGTGGCCAGAATCTAGAAAATGTGGGTGGGTGAGAGTATTTTTGTTAATTTCTAAACTTTTTTTTGTAGGTTTTTAGTTAATTTAACAAACTTAAGAGGTTTAAAATAATTGAATAAAATAAAATAAGATTTTTATAATAGGAAAATAAATATGTGTTTTGGGTAGGATAGACGAACGTACCCAATTGTTGCAATTATTCATTCAATCCAAAGTAAAACAATTTTTAACATGTTAAAAATAAAAAAAAATAAAAAAGGTTTCCACTGTGGGACCACGTCTTCAAATCATCTGAAGTAGCTTCGTAGTGAAGGCCTAACTTAAAAGACGAATGAGGAAATCTTTTAGTCAATACTTTATATATAAAGGTGTTAGTGATCAATTGCTTCATTTGTTTATTGTTCAGCAAGACTCTGTCATAGCTTGCGATTAATCTCTCTGCTCTATAACTGTTATTTTCTTTTAAATTTAAGGAACAATGAGCGAAGAAATTGAAATTGTGGGGATGAGGTTTCGTCCTACTGAAGAAGAAATCATCTTGTATTATCTTGAAAGGAAGATGGGTGGCCTTGATTTCCCTGTCCACTGTATTAACGAAGTTGATGTTCTCAAATATGAACCATGGGACTTGCCTGGTAAGTAAACTAAACACCAACACAATACTCACTCACTTGTATAAATAAAATTGATGGACATGGAGATGTCTGTGAACATTACAATCTGCTTTAATTTGTATTTATATTTTATGCTATGCATGCAGACCTTTCCGCTCGCCCTGATAATGAAATGTGGTACTTTTTCAATGCACCTACTTACAAGTATGCTAAGAGTAAACGAACCAATAGAGCAACCAGGGCCGGATACTGGAAAGTCACTGGTAAGGATCGTCCCATATGGGACGATCGGGGGACGAAGGTGATTGGCATAAAAAAGAATTTGGTTTTCTACTTACATCGTTTTCCTAATGGGGTCAAGACCAACTGGGTCATACATGAGTATCATTCCAATAACGCCCCTCTTTATCAGGCATTTTCTTTTCTATTTTTCTCTTTTTTACTTTTCATACCACTCCAGTTCCTAGTCTGTTGTCCTTTTTGATTTGTTTTGTAATTTATTACAGATTATGGGTGTCTGCTTTCCTAGTGAATTATATGTTTGAATAATCTCTGCCAATTTACATTTGCATGTTCAGTTGAATTTAATTAAACGTTATGATGCTTAATTTAGAATCTTGGTTTAAACGGTATGCGTTGTTTGAGGCAGGGAATTTCTATCTTGATCATTTACGTCTTACTTGGATTTAATAAGAATGGTATTAATGCATATTATGAAAAATGAAGGATGTTTTGGTTGTTATATGATTCTGCTAAAAATTAGTTTGGTAAGATCGTGAATCTAATTGGGCTTTAATGAAAAATAGTCATTACTGAGAAATAATATGAATTGCAGATGTATGATGACCTTTATTTATTTATTTGAACGTTAACTTTTGTAGAAAGAATTTGTTCTTTGGCGCTTGAAAAGAAAATCGGGTAATGAACCTAAAAGTAAAGAACCAAGTCGCAGTTCTAAATCTGACTCAGGAAATTATGTTGTGGAAAATACAGGTCCTCAGGTGAGAAAAAAGCATGCCTTGATTTTTCATTAACTTTGCTTCTTGAGCCTGAGAAACATTCGTATATCTGATGCTTTGTGTATATTGATTTTCACTATAGGTAAACTATGACCGACCTGCAGTAGAATTAGATCCACTCGACTCTATTGGATTTGATCACAACCGTCTCTCTGAGCCAGAGTTGCCGATGCACCAGGAGCATGGATCCTTGTATTCTAATTTGTCTATTAATGAGTTTGTCTCTAGTGAGCAGGAAGATGACTTCTTTAAGTCACTATTGGCTTCCAAGGATGGATACTGGGAAAAGACTCTCATCCATGACAAAGACAAGGAAAAGTTATATGAAGAGGTTAGTAATTTTCTCCTGTGGCTACATGATTCGAGAATACACTCCAATAACTACTGGGTTGTGGCTAAATTCTATAGGAGATTAATATATATTGCTATGATGACTGATGCTTCATTCGTGGATAGTATTACAATGTTGGTATTGTCCTATATTCTTTAAAATCTTGAAAGATCTTAAGATGAGAATTTGAGCTGTTTTCATGAAATCTGGCCAAGCCAAGACTTCTGCTTTGCTGCATTCTGGCCGCCATAGTTTTTAAGAATTTGATACTTCATTTTAGACATCTTATTCAAAAAAAGAATAATTACTTGTCCGCTCATATCTATATGTTACAGAGTGGCCAAGTTTTGGAAACTCCATCCTCTCCGGATCGAGACAGCTCATTCAGACCTGTCAACTCAGCTGCGGATTATCCTCAGATCAATTGTATTCATTTGGTCCATGATGATTTTCCTATTAGCAAAAGAACCTTCAAAGCTCAACATCTACCAAAATCGGAGGACTTCATTAAAAAAGAATGTTCTCCTAGAACACTCCAATTGTGGGCTAAAAGTTCACACAAAGCAATATCTAAGTATGAGGTAAGGATATTTATGGCAGCAGCACGGAAAACAGGAAGATAATTTGTCTCCACAGACTTTTGAATTGCAACCTCCTAATGTTGAATGTAGTCTATGTAATTATTTTGAAATACACTTAGCATTATTTCTGTTTGCAGGCGAGAGCAGCAGAGCATGCCTTTTATCTACCCTTGGAGGAGAACTCTGTTGTGAAGTTTGGGGCAGAGTGGGAAAAGGCTCAAAGAATTAATTCAAAAAAAAGTTTGAGGTTTATATCCAACCAATCTGATGGCAGCAACAGAAAGGGTTGTTTCAGTTCCCTGGAGACACCATTTCTAGACCATAAAACAAATTCAGAATATATTCGCAATGTGCTTGTAGCTGTTATTCTGTTCTTATTCTTTATTTGGGAAATTGGGTCTCTTCACTGAGTAATATAGACAAAGAGACAACAGCTCCTATTCCTACATGCATTGGCTGATAAGCATGAATCCATAGCAATCTTGGTGATTTTTAATTGATGTTGTAAGACTGTTTCAGGTCTTGTTTTTTGGTGGTGTAAAGTTATGATGAAACGAAGCATTGAACCTTTTAAAAAGTAAAGTAAGATAAATGTAAAGCTGATTTTCATGGTGTTGCTGGTTTGAGGTACTCAATGTTACTGTTGAAGTGAAGACTGAAACGATGCAATTTTGGAGACTAATGAAACGCTGCGTTTTTGGTATTAATCTGTGTTGGATCCTGGTCGTTGATCCAACTCTGATCTGACGGCTGAGATGCTTCATTGAGTCGACGATATAAAAGGGCAATGTATAGTCATTATTCATACGCATTTTGTCTCTGTTGAAGAACATTGCATTCTCATTTTTCTCTCTATTAGGATTTCAGTTGATTTGGGGAAATCTTTATAACTTGGGTTGATTGGGTAATTTGTTAGTCAACCAGGAGGGCTCTTTGCTCTGATTCTGAGGGATTCCTGGTGAGTGTCTCTAGGATTAGTTACAATGAGGATTACTTGTAATCATTGAGAGTTTGATCGGGTTTGTAGTTGTTCTTGTTTGGATTTGATCTAATAAGTAGTGTAGCAAGCTCTCCCATTTCCGGAGCTCAACATGGACGTAGCTTATCCAATTTGGATAAGTAAACTACGGTAAATCTATGTTGTGGTTGTTCTTGATTTTCTTGTGGTTTGTGTGTTTTTGTTAATTAGTTAAAACAGTGGTATCAGAGCTAATAGGCGTTAGGATTGATCGATTTGGTGAATCATAGAACAATCTAGGGTTTCTGGAAATTCCTAGGGTTTGTTGAAATTTGGGGCTTTTCAAATTAAGTCATTCCTTGGTGATCTAGAGTCCTAGGAGTATAGATTCGGGGTGTTAAATGACAGGCTATTTGCAAGTGTACGAAGTCATGCAAGTAGCAAAGCTCGAGTAAACGAGTGTCGAATCCAAGAGAATTATCTACCAAGTACCAAGTTAGTCTATTTTATTACTATTTAATAAAATAGAATTTTAAGAATAATTTAATGAAAAATAAAACAAACTAAAAACTAAACAAAAACAGAATTTTATAAATACTTTGGTGAAAAGACCAATAAGACTAAACCCAGGGCACATATTTCAATCCAATTTAATCATATACATTGACAATTATTGCTAACCTAATCAAGCTTATTCTAAAGGCCAAACTCCATAATATTTCACTAACTTTCTCTTAAACAATTAGCGAATTAACCCTTAAGTAACAACCCAAAATATCTCTAAAGTGGATTTAGAAGCTAAGAGCTCATTAAGTTCTATGGAATTTACTAAGACCTCACAAATCACGGTAACCTATCTTTAGCGTTCGCTCAATCTATGATTTTATTAGCTTAGACTAATCAGGTTTCATCTCTCGATCTCAACCTAACCCATAAAATCATTCCACTTTCGGGTCTTTAAGAATTGAAAGCATTACACACAATAATAAAACTTAGAATTAATGTTCAATTAAAATTAACAACAATAAAGTCAACACATATTCATAAATTGGGCTACATCTTTAACCATAGAAAAGGAATTTAGTTCATAATTGTAGTAATAAAAACAACCATTTTATTAACAAACATGAGTTCAAGAAAGAAAAATAGAAAAACTTCTCTAATTTGTGACGAAAATTGCAAGAATTCCGATCTCCAAAATAGTAGCCGCTCTTTCTCATTCTCTAACCTCCCTAAAAAGTAAATAAAGACCCTTATTTATAGTGCTGGGGTTTGGAGGTTAATTAGTAAAGAACTAAATGCCTTAAAGCATTCAGATTCGGACTAGGAAAATACAATAACCCAAACAGGCTCGTCATCCATCGCTATGGCTACAGAAATGGTCACTGCGACGATCATTCTTTCTATCCCATGAGTCTGGAATATTTAGAATCTAGAATATTTAGAATCTGGCAAAGTCATCAACATAAACTTTGTAGCTCCCTAAATAATATTTCCAACGCCACAAGAATCATCAAATTCTGATTTCTACAGCTCAACTTATGATCAAAACATCGAAACATGCTCATCTTGAAGAATTTCTAGGTTTTACGTTTCATCTTCAACGCGTCACAACTTTCTCGTTTCAACTCCGATTCTTGCACCATTTGTTCCTACTCATCATGAAATCCATTGACATCAATCTTCTTTATTCAAATATTGTTTTTAACCTAAAAATACTCAAAATACACTTGAGATCCCATAAAAGGTATTTATGAAATAATTAACTCAAATTTCACATTAAAAACACATTTTCCCACAAATAATCTAATTGAATCACTAAAAAAATATGTATGTTCAAGTTCTTATCATTAAATCATCACTTCGAGGGGTTCTTGGAAGAATTAGGGTTCTTTACTTGGTAATCTTTTAAGGAATCCTTTAACTGCTACTGTCTAGGGTTTCAATTAGGGCTTCTTGAAACAGATACAAAATTAAACACAAATACTGACAATATGTCAACCACACGATTGGAAATTACATAATACGATGGAAATATTGACTTCGGTAGTGGGAAGAAGAAGATGAAGACACTACTTTCCCATAACAAAGTGGGGATTGCTTTAGACAAGGACGCAACAAAGTGGCCAGAGGAGAAATTGAAGAAGAAGGAGGAGATCAACGAGGAGGCATACAATCTCATAGTGATGAACCTGCCTAATAGTGTCCTACGAAAGGTAGATGAGCTAGAAACTCCTCTAGCCCTATGGGGTAACCTTGAAACTTTGTACTCATTACAGTCGGCACCCAATCTTGCATTTTTAAAGGGTGCCTTATTTTCATACAAAATGGATAGTACTAAGTCCATTGAGGATGATCTTGATGAGTTTCTAAAGATGACCCTAATCCTTAAAGGAACTGACCAAGAATGACACCAATCTAGCAATGATCCTACTGAATTCATTGACTGAGGAATACCAAGCATCAAGAATGCTTTACAATATTCAGGAACTGTATCTAGCCTAGACTTGATTGTAGCTGGACTTAAAACTAGGGAATTAGAGTTAAAAGTCCAAAAAAGGTTTGGTAGTAATTGTTTGTAAAAAGTAGGCCTGAATCCAGTCAAGTAGGAAAGAATAATCAATATCAACAGGGGTCTAGGAACAAGAAAAGGGGAAAGGGTAATAACAAAGCAAAAACTGAATCATGAAAGTTTTTTTTTCTGTAACAAACCTGGTCACATTAAGAAAAACTGTTTTGAAAGGTTAAAAAAACATAAATAGAGAAACGCATAGAGTAATTTGACCTCTAGTAAAAACCAATTGGATGAACCTAAGGTCCTGACAGTGTCAACATCTAACACTGCCAAGGAGTGGGTCCTAGACTCAAGCTGCTCCTTTCATATGAGCCCACACAAGAACTAGTTTCAGGACCTAGAAACACATGAAAATGAGACTGTCTACTTGGGAAACAATTAGGCCTATAGTGTTAACGGTATAGGCAGTGTAACCCTTAGACTAACTGATGGAAAACTTGTAAAACTAACCAAGGTTAGGTATATCCCTGATTTAAAAAGAAATCTCATCACTTTAGGGACCCTAGATGAGGTTGGATGTTCCTATAAGACTAGTAATGGTTGTTTGAATGTGTATAGAAACCAAAATTTGATTCTTAAAAGGGAAAATAGAAATGATCTTTACATTATGTGTGGTGATTTTGATCCTAAATGTTTTAATGTTACCCTGCTTTCTAACAAAATGTCTGCAACTCAAAAATGGCACCTTAGGTTAGGGCATATGAGTCAAAAGGGTATGACTATCCTTAACAGTCAGGGGCTATTAGGTAAGGATTCAATCTCAAACCTAAAATTTTGTGAAAACTATGTGTTAGAAAAACAACATAGACCGAGTTTCTCAAAGGGAACTCACCTAGCCACAAACTGCCTTGAATACATACATTCTAACCTTTGGGGACCTGAAAAAGTCAAATCCCATGGTGGGAACAATTACTTTCTATCAATAGTAGATGACTATAGAAGAAAAGTCTAGACCTTTCTCCTGAAAACCAAAGATCAAGCCTTAGCCAAGTTTAAGGAGTGGAAAGTGTTAGTTGAGAACCAGCGAGGTAAGAAAGTAAAAGCCCTAAGAATAGATAATGGATTAGAGCTCTGCAATGCTGAGTTTGAGAATTTATGTAGAGAGTATGACATTTTAAGGCATATAACTATTGCTAGGACCACTTAATGGAATGGGGTGGCAGAAAGAATGAATAGAACCTTACTAGAAAAGGTTAGGTGCTTACTGTTCACTTCAGGACTACCAAACACATTTTGGGGGGAAGCTTTAGCCACTACAGCCTACTTAGTAAATGGAAACTCATCCACTGCCATTAATGGGAAGTGTCCTAAAGAAATCTGGTATGGAAAGAAACTGGACTTAAGCCACCTAAGAAATTTTGGGTGTGTAGCTTATGCACACACCGGGGGGGAACTTGAGCCTAGATCCATAAATGTATATTCCTAAGATATCAAGAAGGCACAAAGGGATATAGATTGTGGGATAGGGAAACTCCAGGGGTAAAAATTATAGTTAGCTGAGATGTGGTGTTTAATGAGAGTGAATTCCCTTGTAAAACCACTGCCACTGACCAAAGAACACCAAAAAATACTCAGACATCATCCATCCCCACTGAAAGCACACAAATTGAGGTGGAGTCTACCATACACCAACCTAACCCCCCCATCCAACCAGATTTAGATCCTCAAACTGAAGGAGAAACATATCAACCAGAACCTGAACAGCTAGAAGAAGAAGCCGTAGAAGAAATCTCAGAACCCCAAATAGTTAATTTATAGCAGTACCAACCAGCAAGAGACAGAACTATAAAAGAGGTAAGGCCACCTGCACAATATTCTAATGCAGATTTAATCTTTACTGCTTTGCTTACATGTATAGAAGTCCAAATGACAGAACCTGAAACATATGAAGAGGCCATGAAGTCCAAAGACAAAGACAAGTGGAAAGCAGCAATGAGGGAATAGATGCACTTATTAGAGGTAAACAAACCTGGTCCTTGGTACCTAAACCCAAAGACTAGAAACTTATACAATGTAAATGACTTTATAAGATAAAAGATGGAATTACAGCCTCTGATCGCCCTAGGTATAAAGCCAGGTTGGTAGCCAAAGGCTATACCCAAAGAGAGGGAATAGACTTCAATGAAGTCTTTTCCCCAGTTGTTAAATATAAAACCATTAGACTTGTGCTCTCTATTGTTGCCTACCAAAATTTAGAATTAGAACAGCTTGATGTCACCACTGCATTCCTACATGGTAGCTTAGATGAGTAGATTTATATGTGTTAGCCTATAGGTTTCATTGACTATAGGGTGTCAAATCATGTATGCCTGTTACATAAGTCTTTGTATGGCCTCAAACAAACCCCTAGGCAATGGTACAAAAGATTTGATACTTTCATAATAGGCATGGGTTTTAAGAGAAGTAGATATGACAGCTGCTTCTATTTTGATTTAGATGAGGACTTGCTTTTATATCTCTTGTTGTATGTTTATGATATGTTACTAAGCAGTAGATCTAAGTCCAAAATACAAGAATTAAAGAAGAAACTTAGTTCAGAATTTGATATGAAAGACTTAGGGAGTGCAAAGAAAATTTTAGGCATGGTTATATCTAGGGATAGGAGGAGTAATGAGCTAAAACTTGAACAGAAGGCTTACTTGGAAAAAAATGGTGAATAGGTTTGAAATGGCTAACTCAAGCCTGTTTCTATGCCTTTAGCAAACCATTTTATGCTAAGTAAAAACCAATGTCCAAAAACTGAAGCTGAAATGATAAAAATGAATGTTGTCCCTTATGCTAGTGTGATTGGCTATATTATGTATGCAATGATAAGTACTAGACTTGACCTGTCATTTGTTATATCTTTGCTTAGCCGATTTATGTCCAACCCTGAGAGTGATCATTGGACTGCCCTGAAATGGGTTGTTAGATATATTAATAGTTCATTCAGTGTTGGTTTAAAATACTATAGAAGAACTGCTATGCTTGATCTGGTGGGGTTCGTAGATTATGACTTAGCAGGTGATAAGGACACCAGAAAATCCACAACAGCAAACTATTTCACACTTGGTGGAAACTGCATAAGCTAGAAATCACAGTTGCAACCCATTGTAGCACTGTCATCAACTGAGGCCGAGTATATAGCCATAGCTGATGTGTTTAAGGAGGTTGCATGGTTGTAAGGAATGTTATCAGAAGCAAACTTATCTGATAGGAAGGTCACAATCTACTCTGACAGCCAAAGTGCGATTCATCTCAGGAAAAACCCAGTCTATCACGAAAGAACCAAGCATGTAGATGTCCGGTTTCATTTTGTGAGAGACCTAGTTGCCCAAGGAGTTGTTGAATTGAAAAGGTAGCCATTGAAGAAAATCCAACAGATATGGGGACAAAAATCATTACACCAGCAAAGTTCAAGCACTGCTTGAAGTTGCTGTCAGTGGAGTAATCAAAAGTGGGCTGGAGATATGGTTTAAAGTGAGCTGCACTGCTTAGATTTCAAGTCTTCAAGGTAGAGATTGTTGAAGCGAAGACTGAAACGATGCAATTTTGGAGACTAATGAAACGCTGTGTTTTTTGTATTAATTTGTGTTGGATCCTGGTCATTGATCCAACTTTGATCTGACGGCTGAGATGCTTCACTAAGTCAACGATATAAAAGGGCAATGTACAATCATTATTCACACACATTTTGTCTTTGTTGAAGAACATTGCATTCTCATTTTTCTCTTTGTTAGGGTTTCAGTTGATTTGGGGAAATCTTTGTAACTTGGGTTGATTGGGTAATTTGCTAGTCAATCAGGAGGGCTCTTTGCTCTTGTTCTTAGGAATTCCTGGTGAGTGTCTCTAGGATTAGTTACGGTGAGGATTACTTGTAATCATTGAGAGTTTGATCGGGTTTGTAGTTTGTTCTTGTTTGGATCTTGATCTAATAAGTAGTGCAACGAGCTCTCCCATTTCTAAAGCTCAACATGGACGTTGCTTATCCAATTTGGATAAGTGAACCACGATAAATCTGTGTTGTGGTTGTTCTTGATTTTCTTGTGGTTTGTGTGCTTGATTGGTTTGTGTGTTTTTGTTAATTAGTTTCAACAGTAACCCATTTGGAGCAGCTTCTGCTAATGGTTAGAATTAAACAGGATGATAATCATTTTATCAACTGATCTTTATTCCATATGTATTATCAAGTAGTAGTATCTGTCTGTCCCGTGGATTATGAAGTTTTTATATACAACACTACCAATTTTATCTTCAATCTAAAAATATTGAAAATGTTTTATATCCAATGTTTATTATTTGATACTTGACGGGTATTAAGTGTTTAACTTGATTTTATTTTTTATTTTTGAAAATACTTGTGGGTAAACTTGATTTTGTGTCGACATATTAATATACAATTATAATTTAATAAAAAGTATATACTTAATTACTCATTTAACTTCAATTTTATTATAGTTCGGAAAAAGAAGACGTTCGACAGAGATTTGAAGTTAATTAAAGCATTTGGAATTTTGATTTGGAAAGACAAAGTTAGGTTTAGGAAAAAGTTCATTTGGAATTGGCTTCAACATTATAGTTAATTTGGATTATATTTATTTTAATCTTCTTAAGCACAAATGCACATCTCAATAATCATCAAAATCAAGATCCCAGAACTCAAAAGTCTTGGAAAAGAAAAATTAGTTTAATAAAATATGTAAGAATTCATTTGAATTGATATTTAAAATATACAATTAAATACTTTTTTTATTTTTTTTTTTTGGTTTAATCTGGACACATAGCTTATCAATTTATGATGGTATGAAAATGTGGACAACTATGAACTAAAATCTGTACGGACAAGTCTGGCTTAATGCGGTGGTCAACAAAATAAAAGGAAAGTCATAGACTCATAGTAGTACCTTATAATCCAATCTAATCTAATGCTGATCAGTGGACCCTCTTTATAAACCCTTTTTATCTTCTAGGAAACACGCGGTGTAATGTAATGGCTTACCCCTTGTCAATCGCGCGTGAGATTACGACCACTATATTTATTTAATGATCCAATGGCTGTTTAGAGAAGTTACAGGATGAATGAATAGAGGCAAGGAGAAGGAGATGTTGATGGAAATGTAGTTAATAGTAAAGAATTTATTGAGCATATAGATGTTTAGTGGAGAAGTTATTGTGTCCCCCTTTCCTTTTCCACTTAGTTATAACAATTGGTCAGATGAACCTTTCTAGTAAAATGGTGTGTTTAGAGTGATAATTTGAACAAAGTGAAATTGAGAATGTTCCCAGAAAGAGCATATCTTTGAATAATTGAAAAATGGAAAGCATTTGATTTGCCTGACTTTATAAACTTGTTATGGAAGGATAGATAAATGATCATATGACAAATGACAAGGCAAAGAGAACAAACTAACTAATCATAAAATTACATTAAAGTGATTGTGCGATATGACGTCCCAAGCCAATGATATGAGAGACTCAAATCAACGGAAGTATTGCATGGCGGGAACAGCTTGAGTATCAAGTTTTCATGTATTCTACTATTTTGCACTGTATTAAAAAGGTTTCATTTGTACATTTCGGTGGAAAACTGTTTTTATTTCATTCATTTTTAATTCTGGAGTAGAAAACGACGCAGCGTCGGTATAAAGGGATTTGAATATACATATATAGTTTGCATGAGAAGGGGGTCCACTTAGCAGAAGAAGTTGTATCATGTTTTGGAGACTAGTCTCCAAAACAACACCTTCCCAAATAATTTTCCCAACCCAAGCTTCTTAGTTAAGGCCAAGACTTTGACCAATAACCAAGTCAATGCCATTCAATTTTTATATTTTTCTATATATACATATAACCAACTGCCTAGTTTTACTCATCACTTGCTACCTCTCTCATCACCCTTCCAAAACTTATTTTAATCTCTCTTCCATTAATTACTTTGATCAAATCAATTTTAATGGACAACTTTAATGGCATGGGATACAGATTCCATCCCACTGAAGATGAAATCATCAACCATTTTCTTGAATCAAAGATGAAGTGTGGCACTGATTTCTCTGCAGTAATTAAGGAAATCGATATTTCCAATTTTGAACCTTGGGAATTGCCTGGTACGTATACATATAATTTAATATTGTTAAACTATCTATATATTTTGAAATGACAAATTGTTTTATACTTTTTTTTGTGCAGACCATTCACCACTATCCTCAGATGATCAAGAGTGGTACTTTTTCAGTACAATTGCTTATAAGCCTTCCAATAAGAGTACTAGTAAAAGAGTAGTTGAAAGAACAACTAGGGCTGGATTTTGGAAAGTCACTGGCAAAGATCGTGAAATCTACGACGACAACAGTGGACAACTGATTGGTAAAAGAAAAGCTTTGGTTTTCTACCAAGGTCATGGTTCTAATGCCGTCAAGACAAATTGGGTGATGCATGAATATCATTCCCAGACAGTACATCAGGCATATATCTGTTCTTACCTTCCTTATTTAACCTTTTATTTTTTTGCCTTGCATTCCCGTCTCCCAGGACGATCATGATCTCTTTTAGTAACCTCCTGCATTACCTCCGATTTTTTAAACTTTACGATTGATGAATAATTAAGCGACAAGATGCATGTTTAATTTAGTTGCTCCTTCCTGATATATTGATTAATATTGTACAAATATGCATGCATGCAATTACAAAATATCTTATTGAACTTAGTATGAAGGATAGCAGTGGTAGCTAAAAATGATATTTTGTTTGTTCTGACTTTCGCTAAAAGTTCGGTAAGTACGTAAGAAACTTTAGCTTCCTTTTTAATATAAAAATAATTATTCTTCCTCATGTCATCTGCCAAATAACACAACCACAAGATAATGAGTTTCTTTTTTTATTTTTAAAAAATACTAATAATTTTTATTTTTGACTTGTACAGAACCCTTATGTTCTCTGTCGTTTAAGAAGAAAATCAGATGATGCAGAAGATGATCAACCAAGTTCCCGTTTGGCTTCTACTTCACGACATTAATAGCAGAATTTGATATAACAGCAGGTAGTAAGAGGATTAGTTATCTGTATATGGATTGTAATAAATTAAGCTGATATTCTTACTTGCTTATTGTATATATAATCATTGTAGAGATGAATGGTAAAACTGTATTAATTAAGTTGATCCCTATTAGTATTATGTTAATGTCTATTTCATAAGACTTCGATAATAGTTATTAATAATACTTTGCTTTTAGTCATTTTTAGATGGGAGTCTGAACGGGAATTTCAAGTGTGGCATGCTGATGGAGTCAACTACAGCGTTGGAATAACTATGGAGTTAGCTTGAATATTTAATTAGTAATTAGGACATATTGTATTATGTTTTCAGTATATGTAATGAAAAGTATTTTCATTTGTGAGCATTTATAATTATCAACTTTATTAAAGAATGTTTGGGAATGTTTTATGTAATTCAATTATTAACTATATATGTGAGTTGACATTAAAATAAATACATCTTCACTTGTTATTTTAACTATTTGATTGTCTTAAAATGGATGATTATTAGAGCGTATCAATTAAATTAAATTATAATATCACCACCTATTCATAAAACAGTACTCCATAATACTTGAAATAAAGTCTATCTTGATCCTTTTTTTTTTCTTTTTTTCTTTTTGACATGCATATTTCGACCCTTATTTCTCTCTACACAGATGATTTCTTGTACAAATAAAAAAAGTGTCGGTCCTATGAAAAATGTTTGTTAAGAATTAACTGAAATTGAGCCTTTCTAGAATATTCATTGAAGGCATCATTCAAAGTTATAGATTATTGAAGCCTGTAACACAAGGAGGTAGAAACTTCCAAGGAGCTGAGTAATATGAGCATAACAAACTCAAAACCAACGAATTTTAAAGAATCTATTGACGCTTAAAACAAAAGTTCTCAGAATCATGTAACGAATAAATAAACAAACACATTGCTCATTCCTTTTTAATTGAACTCAGATTGAACCAGTCTAGGATGTTCCATGAAAGCATTTTGATCACTAACTAAACTACACTAAAAGCTTTTCCAGAATGTTCTCTAGAGCATCTACTAATATATTTGAACACATATATATATATTTTAGAATTACCTTGATATATATAATTTATTAACTTGTGAAAGAAGGGAAAGTTAGTGGGCAACAAGACGACTTCACAAGAAAGTTTATAGTGATTCCTTCATGAATTGTTTTATATTTAATTGAATGAATAAAAATTGAGTTAGCAGATGTTATTAATTGATTAAAAGTAAAATAATAATAATAATAATAATAATAATTCTGTTGCTTACACGATGTCATGTGATCCATACGTGCATGGCGTGTACGTATCCCTTCACACGGTTTTAAGTTTGAGTTATGGGGTCTAGTTTTTACTATAGTCTAGTCTACTAATAATTCCGCGTGTCTAAACACGTCAGCAAACTTCTTAAATAAGGTAAGACTTTTAGTCAATGAGATAGAAACCATCACATCTCCATTACTATAAATAAGGGGTCTCTTTCTCTTCTATATATATAAAAGTATATACTTTCTTTTATATTGAATTGAAAGAAGAAATGAGCAATTTTGATGTTCAATTGCTGGGACACAGATTCCACCCAACTGATGAAGAAATTATCACGTATTATCTGGAAAGAAAGATGGCTCGCCTTAATATTCCTCACAACGTAGTTAACGAAGTTGATATTTGCAAATTCGAGCCTTGGGAATTGCCTCGTAAGTGTTGATCACCACATGCACAGTCCGTTTATATTTCATATTATTTATCCATTCATTGATTGTTATTTTGATGCTGCATGTAGAGCTTTCAGCGCTGTTAGATGATGAAGAGTGGTACTTTTTCAGTACACCTTGCAAGTATGCCAACGGTAAAGGGACCAAAAGAACAACCAAGGGTGGTTACTGGAAAGTGACGTGTAATGATCGTCGTGTTTGGGACGAATGCGAAGAGAATGAGATTGGGAAGCAAACGACTTTGGTTTTCTACAAAGGACGTGGTTCTAAAGCGGTGAAGACCGACTGGATTATACATGAATACCATTCCAACAACGCCACTTCTTATCAGGCATTATAAGTTTATTGATCATATTGTTTCTTATTAATTTGCTTTTGATTATTTACCCTGAGAATATATTGTTATATTCATGAACATTTCTTTTTTCTTTAAACTTTTGCAGAATGCATTTGTTTTCTGTCGCATTAAAGGACAACTAGAGGATGGGTCAAATGCTTATACCGGCGGCGAACCAAGCTACAGTTGAGATTACGATTCTGGAAATCATGATGGAATGAATAGCACTGTGTGTATAATTAGGGTTTGATGACAGGTGATGGAATGAATAGCAGGGAAGAGTATGTCATCTATATATAAAGAAATTAATTAGATGTAATATTGTCGGGGAGTGGAGTTCCCAGAGAAAAGTTGAGTGGTTTTTCTATACATGTCGTCTTAATTTGTAAGTTGTGTTTGTTGTACGTGTTATGTAGATCAGTGTAAGCTATGGTCATGTTTGATTGTAGTCTAATCAGTACTAAAATGAATTTGCTTTTGTGGAAATTGCAATGTGGTACAGTGAGAGGGAGAATGTAACAAGAATATATGAATTGGGTAGGTAACAAAAAAATTGAAATTAAGGTATTCTAGAACATTCTAGGAAAGCTGCTTTTAGTAATTTATTGAAAGAACTTATGAAAGAAGGGGTAGATATAAGTAAGTGGGGAACATAACAAATCAAGGAAAGTGACCAGAAACAAAATGAAACAATTTGAGAAGGGAAGAAAACAAAATCAATGGAAGGTTTATATATAATATTACTTTTATCTAGTAGCTGTATTTTTAACCATGATTCTATAACTATCTATCTATCCCTAAATATTAATCCTAGCCATATATAACATAAGTTTTTAAAAGAAGATAATTGGGTCTAAACTGAATCGAGTTTATCATTTATTAACATTATATTGTAGAAAATTTTTTTTTTTTTTTTTTAATGATTAGAGGTATCAGATTAGCTTATATACTTTAATTAATTTTAAAATATTAAAATATCAATTGAATAAAAACTCTAATAATTATCTTTTATTATAATAAAAAAGGGTTTCGAAGTTAATAGCTCCCGAGTAAACAGGTATAAAAAGAACAAAAATGAGGTATAGATATATAAGAACGCGGTTTTGGCTCGCTGCTCTTTAGTACCTCTCCATCCAATATCCTGAGAACACGTATCCAAAAGGCCGCAGATATCTTCGTAATTAGCTCACGAAGACTTAAGACAACATGATTGTTTAAGTCAAGTCAATGCGTTACGTCTGTATATAAACGAGAATGACTCAACGAGTGAGTGAGTGATCACTCGCCATTGCCTATCTATCTCTGCTATTTCTGCTGCCTTCTTCTTGTATTGTAATTTGTAAAGCTTAGGATATTACTCTTTCTTCTTCTCTCTTATACTTCCATCCATTTCTATAATTAAAATGAATCAGGAGGTGGCCGTGGGAGTCAGATTCCGTCCAACTGATGAAGAACCATCACGTATTATCTTTATATGAAGATGAGCGGCCTTGAATTCCCTTTACCTATCGTTAGAGGTTGATATCCGTAATTACAATCCTTGGAATTGCCCGGTAAGTAGTCAGTTATACACTCACTTCACAATCATTTTAAACCAACAAATTAGTGAACTTGTTTTTGCACATATGCAACATCCACTACCGAAGAGGATCAAGTGTGGTACTTTTTAGTACACCTTCTAAAAAGTATGCCACAGTAACAGATGGCCAGAACAACTAGTGAGGGAACTGGATACTGGAAATAACTGGTAGGGATCGGTGAGGTCAAGAACAAACGTAGTGGGAGGTGATTGGTATCAAAAGACTTTGGTTTTCTACGAAGTCGTAACCTGATACAGTCAGAACCAGCTGGGTGATGAATGAATTTCTTTCCATCAACGCCGCTTCTTCTCAGGCATACCTTTCCTTCTTTCTTATTTACTACTTCAACTAGTTTAGTGATAGGGATTGTCTTATGTCTTCGCTTTCATGTTCTATCCATCAATTTCTGTATCAAATTTGTTTTGCCATTTTTCTATATTCTATATAATTTCTGTTGAATTAAGTGCCGGGCTGCGTAATGTAGCCGGGCTTTGTTGATTTTGCGCAATTTAGTAGGAGTGATATCAATGCAAATAATTGATTATGGAATTCTGTTTGCTCTGTCTTGTCACCTACAGTTCAATAAAGTAGTATAATTCGGGCTGATGAAGATAATATTCGCAATGTGCTGTAGCTGTTATTCTGTTCATATTCTTATTTGGGAAATTGGTCTCTTCACTGAGTAATATACACAAAGAAAACAGCTCCTATTCCTACATGCATTGGCGGATAGGCATGAATCCATAGCAATCTTGGTGATTTATCATTGATGTTGTAAGAGGTCTTTTTTTTGGTGGTGTGTGAATTTATGATGAAACGAAGCATTGAACCTTTTAAAAGTAAAATAAGATAAATGTAAACTGAATTTCATGGTGTTGCTGGTTTGAGGTACTCAATGTTACCCAGTCGGAGCAGCTTCTGCAATGGTTAGAATTGAAAAGGATGAATCATTTTGTCAATTGATCCTTGTTCCATATGTATTATCAAGTACTTGTATCTCTGTGTCCCGTGGATTATGAAGTTTTTATATACATGCTACCAATTTTATCTTCAATCTAAAATGTTGAAAATGTTTTAAATCCATGTTTGTTATTTGATACTTAACGAGTATTAAGTGTTTAACTTGATTTTATTTTTTATTTTGAAAATACTTGTGGTTAACTTGATTTTCTGTCGACATAGTAATATACAATTATAATTTAATAAAACTATGTACTTAATTACTCATTTAACTGCACTTTTATTCAGAAACCTATAGTTCAGAAAAAGAGATGCAAAGTTAATTAAAGCTTTGGAATTTGATTTCGTTGGTTTAGGGTAAAGTTAACGTGGAATTGGCTTCACATCAAGAGTTAATTTGGATTATATGTATTTTAATCTTCTAAAGCACAAATGCACTAGGCAACAATCACATCTCAATAATCATCAAAATCGCTCCCAGAACTCAAAAGACTTGAAAAAAAAATTTGGTTTATAAAAATATGTAAGAATTCATTTGAATTGATATTTAAAATATACAATTAATTTTTTTTTGGTTTAATTTGGACACAGCTTTCAATTTATGTTTGTATGAAGATGTGGACAACTATGACACAAATATGTACGGACAAGTCTGGCTTGGTGCGGTGGTCAACAAAACAAAGATAGTACAAATCTAATCTAATGCTTAATTATTTAGTGGACCCTCCTTATAACCCTACTTTGTAGTTTCTAGGAACCACAGGTGTAATGGGTTACCCCTTGTGAGACTACTACCACTATATTATTTATTATTTAATGATCCGAAGCTGTTTAGAGAAGTTATGGGATGAATGAATAGAGGCAGGAGAAGGAGAAGGAGAAGGAGAAGAGAAGAAGGAGATGTTGATGGAATTTTATTATAGTCAAAAATTTACTGAGCATATAGATGTTTAGTGAGAAGTTATTGTCTCCCCTTTTCCTTTTCCACTTAGTTATAACAATTGGTCAGATGATCCTTTCTAGTAAAATGGTGTGTTTAGAGTGATAATTTGAAGAAGTGAATTAAGAAGAATGTTCCCAGAAGAGCATCTTTGAATAATTGAGAAGAATGGAAAGTGTTGTTGCTTGATTTTGACACCATGACCTCACACATGCAAAGTATTAAGCAGGTCTTAAAAATTACACTGATTAATTTGAGAGTTAGGCTAAGGTCACAGTGGCATGCAAAGACTTAATATAAATGAGACAATGAGAATTTTATAATGGTTCGAATGCTTAAAGTGATTCTTACATCCATTGTTTTCTTTTACATGTGTTCTTAGTTATTAGCCAAGTATAAGAGGTCGCGAACTGAACAAATTACAAGAGCTCGGTATTCAGAGTGAATTTAAGCCAGTCTTTTTTCCGTAGGTTGTTTGGCTAAGTGTCTTTTTTAAATCAGAGATCCCAATTTTGTAAGTGAGAGTCCTCTATTTATAGCCGCTGAGTTCAAGGTAATGATTACAAGTTTATAAGTGGGTAGGTGTCGTGCAAGTTTCCTTGCGTCCCTTGGCTAATAACTTAGAAAATATCCTTAAACTATATAGGGCTTAGACAAGTGTGTGGACCTCATTCATTTACAGACAAAATTTGAGCCTACTGAGTTGGTGATAGCCATATTCTCTCTATCTTGGGACTCGTGGTAGATTCTGGATGACGCAAAGCCTTCTTGAACTCTAATTGGTGCTCGTTGAGGTAAGCTTACATCAACCTTGATTTTTTGGCATACAGAAAACATTGATTTGCCTGACTTTATAAACTTGTTATGGAGGATGATATATGATCATATGACAAATACAAGGAAAAGAGAACAAACTAACTAATCATAAATTACATTAAAGTGATCGTGCGATATGACTGTCCAAGCCAATGATATGAGAGACTCAAATCAACGGAAGTATTGCATGGCGGGGACAGCTTGAGTGTCAAGTTTTCATGTATTCTACTATTTTGCACTATTTATAAAGGTTTCATTTGTACATTTCGGTGGAAAAGATTATGAATGCATTATAGTTTAACTGTTTTATTTCATTCATTTTTAATTTTGGAGTAGAAACGACGCAGCGTCGTATAAAGGGATTTGAATATACATATATAGTTTGCAGGAGGGGGGTCCGCTTTGTTGACCAAAGATAAGAAAGGGCAAAGTTTTAATTAGCTGTAAAATCCTCTTTCACTAAAAACGGTGTAGTTTCAATTCTCTTCTCTTTCATATAAAAGAGAGTTATTCTTCATTGTAAAGTTCAATTCGAAACTCTGAACTGCATTTATCAAAATAATGGTTACAACATTTTTTGCTCATTCTCTAGATCTCACATGGTATCAGAGCTGAAGACAAATGTCTACAGCAAAGATTCCGGGTTTTCTTTGTTTAATTCATCACTATGGAGAAAACAACGCTCCTCAATCCAGCTCAATCCTCAATTTTTTCATCCAGTTTGCAAGTAATCACTCCGAAGCTGACGAGAGATAATTACAAGGATAATTATCGATTCTGGAGGTCTCAAGTGCTATCAGCTGTAGGAGCTCATGAATTGGAAGAACATCTAACAGGTGTTATTCCATGTCTTGATCCTTTAATTGTTTATGAAAGTGTTAGTTCATCTCAGTC